CTTCTCCTTCTCCTTCTCCTTCTCCTTCTCCTTCTCCTTCTCCTTCTCCTTCTCCTTCTCCTTCTCCTTCTCCTTCTCCTCCCTGGGTTTGGGTGGTTTTGTGTAATTGGATAAAAAGTCCCCATTGCAGCCACGAGTGATTGGTTATTGGGTTAAAAGTAAAAATAATTTCAGTGTCATTCCTTAATTGATCCTTCAAAGGCCTTGCAGAGAGAGAGATGGGGCTCCATTTTTAGTTTTTTGGAGTAAAGAACTCAGGGTTTGTGAGAGTGTGACAGAGATAAGAACTGATAAACATCTGAGTCCCAACATGAAATTCCATCTCACGCATTTAATCCTGACCTCGGCAGAAAACAAGATAAAAACTCAACAGCTTCCCAGAGACGGAATTTGGTGTTGGTGACCTTATTCCATCTTCCTCATCCCGTTTTCCTGTGTTTCTTTGGCAGCTCTGTTTGAAAAGTGATGAGCACTGAGCCAATATTTTGTCTCCATTAATTCCAATTTAGTTGCATAAAATTGATAATAGAGATAATAGGACAAATCTGGAGCTCCCCAGCCCAGGAGAAACATGGACAAGTTGGAGCAAATCCAGCAAAGGGCCCCAAAAATGATTCAGGGAGCATCTGTCATATGAGAAGAAGCTGGAAAAACTGGGAATTCAGCCTGCAGAAGGGAAAGCTCAGGAAGTTCTTATCAGTGGGAAAAAATTAATTATAAAGAAGGAATAAAGGACCTGGTGTCAAATTTTATTCTGTTGTGAGCAGTGAGAGGGCAAGAGGCGTAAACGGAAACACAGAATTCCATCTGAACTTGGAATTAATTTCTTTTTTTTTTCTGGGAAACATGGAATTCCATCTGAACTTGGAATTTATTTAACTTCTTTTCCGGGAAGGTGTTTGGGCACTGGGCCAGACTGTCCAGAGAGGTTGTGGAGTCTCCATCCCTGGAGAGATCAAAACCCAACTGGACATGGCCTTGCACAACCTGCTCTAAGCAAGGCTTTGGGCTGATAACCCCTTCCAAGGATTCCATAATATTGGGGTTGTGTGGTGAGGAAGGGCACCTTGGGCTTGGAAATTAGAGGAAAATCTCAGTGAATTCTCAGGTTTCTGGAAAATTGTAATTCTGTTTGTTCATTCTCGTCTGTGTTTGTTCACTGCTGCTCCTAAAATTGGATTTTCTTACAGGAGTCATGGATTTTACAGATCCCTGTCCCTGTTAACAGAACCACTTCTAATAACTGATAATTGGAAAAGTTTTCTGTAAATTTTTTTGAATGCAACTGATGTTTTTCCTCTTTAATATTTAGGATGGCTCAGCTTTGATTTTGTGCCTTTTCTTTTAGCAGAACCTTTCCAGATGCTCATCTGACACTCCTTTGTTCCAGGACATCACTGCTCCTGTTGGGATTTCACTCTGGTTCATCACTTCCCATATTTATGGACAAATATCTTTTATTATTCCCCCTTTTTAATCTCAAACTCTTCCCAGTAAAGCTCCGTGGAAAATGCTTCAAAACCCATCAGCAGACCTGGATGAATTCAGGAACAAGGAGTATAAAACCTCCAGGAAAACAGAATTATTTGGCTCTGGAATAATCTGGGGTTCTTCAATTGCTGTGTTTGAACAGCAAAATTCTCCTTATGATGGGAAAGTCTTGACCTCCCATTTTTTGAAGCGAGAATAAATCATCAGGGTTTGTATCCTGGAAGAAAATGAAATTGCAGAGCACTTGAAAAGGTGAATTTGTCAATCAGCTGAGTGAAACGAGTCACAGGTTTTGCAAAAAAGTGGGATGGGGATTATTAGTTTGAAATCCAAAGCAGGATCCAGCCCTAATGTCCTTCCTGCTCCTTAGTGGAGTTACAGGAAAACTGTAACGTTTCTCAGGACAGAGCTGCCAACACAAAGTCATATTTTATACAAAAGGCGTCCACCGACAAGCTGTGACCTTTAAAATGTTATATAAAATTTTACCAAGAGATGCAAACAGTTTTTTAATGTTAGCAGGGACAGTGAAGGAAGGAAAATTATTATTTTTTTCCCATTAATTGAAGGCAGAGGTTGTCCGAATGGGAGCTCAGTTATCTGGGGAGGATTTGGGATTTCAGAGCCTGCAAAGGCATCCAGGGAGTTTGAAACACTTGATATGAAAGATTTAAACCTCAAATTACTGATAATGGTGATTTATCCTAACAAAATCTGCCAAGACATCAGTTCCTCAAAGTACCCAACCAGTTCTTGCCCTTGGAGTTTTGATAATTGAGAATTTGATCATTCTCTGATGAGATAATTATCTGATGAGATAATTAAGGATCATAAAGGTGGGAAAAGACCTCCAAGATCAAGCCCAGCCTTTGACCAAGTCCCACCACTAAGGCAGAGTGTTCCTGAAATCCACTGCAGAGCTTCACCTTTCACTTTGTTCTGGAAAATTTGCTGGGAAATTGTCTCCAGAGCAGGTCCTGAGGATTTCCCTGGCTCTGTATCACCAAATCGGTGTTTGGATTTGATGGAAGTCGGAGTAGATAAATCAAAATTAAAAAAAAAAAAAAAAAAA